GGTCTGGGCCTCTTTGCTTAGGCTGCTGCCCCCGCGACCCGGCCCCGGATGAAGCGGATGAAGATGGATGGATGAAGATGGATGGATGGATACGAATGAGTTTGCTCTAGTTGTGCACCTTTGCAGCACACTTTTATACACGTGCACAAGACCAAATATACTGCATATATACTGCATATATACTGCATGTATACTGCATGTATACTGCTTGTATACTGCTTGTATACTGCATGTATACTGCATGTATACTGCATGTATCACAGTGCCAGAAAACCGATTCTGTTCGTCTGAAGATGGCAGTTTCAATGTTGACAGTTTACCTACCAATCATTATGAAATTGAAGCCATTGTTCATTATTAAGTAAATAGTGCTAGTTTATTGTGTATAATGGGGGGAAACTTGAATCCAGCTGAGTCTCAGGCTCAGTCTTGGATGTGTGATGAAATGTTTCTGACACTGACGACGTCCAGATGAACAAAATCAGCGTTCTGGGATTTCCTCACCTGGTTGATCGAGCACGCATCATCATATCGCTCTAACACCTCACTTCCTAAAAGGCATCATCAAAGCTTTAGAGTAACATATGTTCCATTCAGTTTGTAGGGTTAATGCTAAACAGTACACTGCCTGTGCAACACAAGCATGAGTTCAGAATAGAAGAGTGTGAGTGCTGGCACCGCCTGCAGCTCAGACCTCGGCTACAGGCAGGCATGCTATAAAACACAGAAATGAATAAAAAAATCACAGAGTTTGTGCCATAGCTGTGTGAAGGCAGGAGGGAATGGTGAACCCAAGGGCAGGACTCACGGAGGCAAATGTGAAAACACCTGGCTTTATTGGGAGATTGCATACTGAACAGAAAACTAACTAAACAAAGCAAATAAACTAACAGGCAGGCAAACAGAACACGGAGTCGAATGAGGGACGACGCAGACACTAAATACAAGAGGTGAACAGGACTAAGAGGAAACAGCTGGGAGGCACGGCTGACACTAATTACACAGATGAGACAGGGAGAGCACAAAACTGAACACACTGACATAAGACACAGACCTTCAAAGTAAAACAGGAAATGCACAGACTGGACTCAGAGACACGGTACAGACAGAGAGCAGAGGGACATGCATCAAAACACAAAAACATGATCAGAACGAACTAGAACACAAGATCATAATAATAATAAACACAAAATGCTGAGTCAAATGACCCAGGACCATGACAGTTTGTAATCGTAGAGAAACCATTCATTGGTTTTGTCATATTCAAGCAGGAAGCACTCAGGGCTTCAAAGATTCAGAGCAATTGAAAACGGACCTTTGAAATGTGCGTTTTTGCAACAGACTGTACAATTCAGGTGACAATGAATACATCAGGAAACGAGTGTCACTGCATTTGGAGAACATATTTCTAGCTGTAACTGGATGCCTTGGAAATGGTCCCCCAGTACAAACAACAAAAATAACTAATAATATTAACCCTGTTGACATGCCTAAATGCAGTGAGATGCTGCCATGAGAATGGCTGATTAGAAATCTACCTAACAAACTGTCCTGTAAGTGGTGACGGTCACTCCTCAGTGAATACGTCTCAGAGTAGTATTATTAGAAACAATGGTTTAAAGATGATTTAAAGACTTGGGTGTCAGTTCTGTCATTTTCTGAGCTTTCCTTGGAGATAGGAGAGTCCGTTAGTCCAACACTCTGTTGGAGGATCCCTGTGTACAGTCAGGTGCATGCATCTCATCTCATAGTACACACATGAGTCCATAATAAATAAGCTGTCAGAATATTAAAGACTATTGGAACACGACTGCAGTTTCCTTTGGATGTGCATTCCCACTGAAGCATATTCTTCCTCACATGGTTTAGTCCAAATCACACATCTGTAATGTTTTGTAATGTTTATGTTATTTCTATATTGATTGGTTTGGATTGATCTTTCAGGTATCATTTAGCCTGAGATTCTTGTACATAACTACTGATTGTCCATCCCTCTCTGCATCATGTGTAATTAAAATTCTTTATAGTTGGACTGAACATTTTCATCGTCAAAGGGACCTGCTCTGGTAAAAATGAAAGTTTACACTAAATGTTTTTAGAACGATGAACTCAGATAGCACTGAGTCTCTCTGTTAACAGGTTAAGTACCACAGGAGGGTGCAGGAATTAAACCTTTACTTAAAAAGCATCATTAGCTGTCTCAGCTAATCACAGAACGATCTCTAAGCTTCCTGTTAAACCTCAGTGTTTGTTACTACTCACAATAACATTTTATTAGAGAAGTAGCTGCATGCTGCAGGTACTGCGCTGCAGTGGTTTGGATCATATCTATCTAATAGACTCCAGTTTGTTCATGTAAATGGAGAGTCCTCTTCACACACTGAGGTTAATTATGGAGTTCCACAGGGTTCAGTGCTAGGACCAATTCTGTTTACATTATACATGCTTCCCTTAGGCAGTATCATTAGAAGACATAGCATACATTTATATTACTGTGATCTCTGGCTCTGTTTCAGCGTTTGTCTTTTTGACCTCGCCCCTCTTCCCCAGCTGGTTGTGTCAAATGAGCCTCATTCCCAAGCCTGGTCCTGTTTCTTCCCATTTGTAACACAAAAAGGACCCATCCACACAGTGCTGCAGGATGAGTGATTTTATTTACATGGTCTTTCTTTATAGCAGCTTTTGAGCTGCACATCTCTTTCTTCCAGGCCACGCCACCTTCTAAAACAGGAAAGTGTGATGGATGTCAGGTGTGCTGGCTGGCCTTTACACCTACTCATGTGCTAACTTTAGGCAGTCCTTGCTAAAGTCAGTTAAAAACATTTGTCAGAGCTGGGAACGCACTTAAATATTGCTCTAGGTCAGGGGTTTCACACTTTGTAATTATTATGTGTGAGCCGAATCTTCAGCCCTGCTGAGAATCCATGCAGGTTAGGGTGAGACTTTGACGGACACATCATGCAGCCAATCACATGCAAAGGCAGACTGGAATCATATCATTGTGTGAAAGAAGGAAGTGGGGCAGATATTCCAAGACAGCAGGTGTAGTGGTACAGGCCAGGTACACAGAGACACTGAGGCATTTAAACCCAAGTGGGTCGGGAAAAAGGCAACGAGCGAAAACATAAAGTGAGCGGAACCTGTCTGCATTTCAGTGACGTGGAGACTTGATCGAATCAGGAGCTAAAGTCATAACCATTTTTATTTTCAGCAATTTTCCATAATGGAGAACAAAAGGTTTGACAATTGTCCAGGCCTTAAACCTCAGCTTAACAGACTTAACTTTGATCGGCCTCTCACCACGGACAAGCACAAGCATAAACTTTGGACCTTAAACTATGTTTTACAGTTCTACACAAAGTAAATAAGCAATAAACAAGTAACTTGTTGAACCTCCATTCCCCTTACCGGGGGTAAAAGGGAGAACAGCTGGTTTAACAGGATGTACAGATATTTAAACATAGATGTGTGGTATCCATGGAAACATCAGAATCTCAGCTAAAACCCCACAAAACCATGAAACAACCATGAAACAACAAAAACAGCTAAAACAGCAAACAAAGTTCAGGTAAACAGAGAAAAAGAGGATTTTCGCCCACAGAAAAGTCTTTAGTGGGACTGTCGGAACAGCTGTGACGTTTTCTCTAAACACTGTTTGAACCCCATAACACGGTGCATCAAAACTGGTCCACACATGACGGATCGGGACCCGGCACCCGGCACAGAGTGATATAGTATGCACGGTGACGTGCCTGGATGATCGCCATGAATTATACATCAGGGAAGCTGAATGGTCTAAGCTAAGTAGATGACACAACACAGAAGAGGGCCCCTGTAAAGGACCCTGCAGTCGGTTTGCTAAAGCTAAATGTGTGGTCGAGCAGAGAGAGCGCTCGGGTGGCCGCCCTGCTCCAGGGCCCGTTTTCTGTTGTCATTTGGAGGCAGTGCACAAAGTATGTGTTACTGCTGGTTTGCCACTCTTACTTGTGCTGCTATTGGTTATAACATACAAAAAGCTGGAGTGTAAGCAAGAGTTAAAAATCTGCATTTTCATGCTTTATTCTTTTATCGTCTTTCCGGCTCATTCCAAACCAAACATGTGGATGGACACATCTGTGGGACTTCAGATCCCAACTGCATGTCGCTGGCAGTGGATCAAGTTTGCGACTGCAAATGCTGATTGGTTGATAAGACCTAACCTCCCCATTATGCAACAATCACTGGTATGCAGCACCTGTAGTTCAGGGTTGGTGACATCACCAACACGCTGCAGACCGTCTGTGGTGATAATGGAAAATACATAAACAGAGTTAATCTGCAGACGAAAAGGGAGTTTTGCCTTCCCACTGTCGCCAAACTGCTTGCTCGTGGAGCGTTGTCCAATTGTTTGGGTTTTCTCTGTATTCTTGTAGGGTCGTTAACTTACAAGCTAAAGTGTCCTGAGGTGACTGTTGTGATTCGCATCTATATAAATAAGACTGAATAGATCCATTTTCCACTTAGATTCTGTGCATGACGTTGTATATCATGTTCTGTAGTGACTGTATGTATGTATGCCAACCAAATGACCCATTTAATAAGCATTTTAATGAAACTGTTCCTGAAAAGATCTCTATAGAGATCCTGCTCATAGTATGGATTCATCTCAGGCTGCTGCTTGTCTCACACTCCACTGGATATGAGCCCCACAACTTCTCATAGCAACGCTTCCTGCCTTGGTCAGACTCACCAGAACACTCTCTTTCTGTTAACAAGCAGCTAAGGAGCATGTACGGCGCAACCGGCAGAGTCGCACGTTTTTGGTGGAAAATGTCATAGGGGAGCTTTGGTCGGAGCTGGAAGAAGGTAGAGTCTCTCTCTTCTTTTACTCATCTGTTCTCTTTTACTTTAGGCTGCCTCCTTTGGCTCTTTCATGTACTGTCATCCTGTCATAGATTAAGAGATTATGATGCCGATTAAGAAACCAGCATCATAAACCTAATATTTAGAGAATTGGCACCAAATGTATAAAGAAATAAAAAAACTCAAGTGTTCAGAAACACCGACATAGTTTAAGCATCGTTCAGCTGCTGGCTTGGCAGAAGGTAGGGCCACACATTTGATTTGGCAGTTTCTTACCCTTCTGACACAACCACAGCGGGGATGTGTGTCCAGCATGGAGCCAAATAACACTGATGCAGTTTGCTAAATAAGTTCATTTGATTGCACTAACTGGGAAAGGCTGGATCAGCCAGAGGGACGCATTGCTGTGGTTGGTTGTTATGTTGTTGGTCATATCAGAATAAACAGTCACCTGACAGGATATTACAGCCTCCCTATAAAATTAGTTTCTGTTCCTTCAACACACATGTGGTTTTAGAGCCACTTTAAACTGAGCTCATTTATTTTACAAACCTTTCCTTTTAGGTGGGAAAAGAGCCCAGCTGAAGAGGTTTTAAGGCTTATTCGGGATACCCATCAGCGGCACATGTGCAGCTCTGCTAAATTAACACATAAACCATTTGACTGGTTAGCAAACAACCAATCACAGCACAAACCACTGGAAACCCTGCTTTACAGGCTTGATAGCTCATTAGCATCTCTGCTCTTGAACACTGGACAAATGCTTACCTGCAGCTGACAGTATCAGTCTGCTAAACGCCGTCCTGCTAGCGAGCTTTAATAACCACGGGAGCTGTGGTTTCTGTGCTGTTCCCATGTCACAGCCGAGTGGCTGTGCTGTTACACACCCTTCATCTTTAAAAGTTCTAACTAAAAATTGAAGACTGACTTTAATACAAAGACTATAATTATTGCTTTCAACATGGATACATATTAACTTTTTGTATCATATTTGATACATGAGTTTCTGAGACCTGCATCAACATGATCAATATTTGCTATCATTTCAAAATGTTATGGACAAAACTCTTTTTTTGTCTAAAATTAACATCGTTGTTATCAAACAGTTGTCAAAAACACTCAATGTATCAAATGCAATACAAAACATACACATAATAAAAATCTATCAAACACAACATGATAAAGCAATAAACACATTTTGTGGATTTTGTTATAAGGGTTCATAAACATCTCAGTTCTAAAAAATCTGAATTTTCTGGCTATTTTGTGATGGGTCTTACAGGGTTAATAGAGGCTATTAAACCTGTTAGCTCCACCTGTCCTGAGTGGTTTGCTTCCTTCTACACTGCCTTAGAACTGAGTTTACAAGGATCAGGTCAGCAGTGCTCTCTGTGGCCTCACTCCAGAAGCAGGAGTGCCAGACAAAGTCATGTTCCTGTAAACAACACAGTGCATGCACTTTGTCTCATGCCACGCTTCTCACCTGCTCACTTTTCTGCACAGGTGACCGATATGTGGTGGTGGACTGTGGTGGAGGAACAGTTGACCTGACTGTCCATCAGATCCGTCTTCCAGAAGGACATCTGAAAGAGCTCTACAAGGCTTCGGGTACAGCACGTGTAGCGTAACACTTTGCTAAAGCATCAGACCGTGTTCATGTGACTCACAGCTGTCTGTTTTCTCAGGTGGCCCCTATGGGTCCATTGGGATTGACTATGAATTTGAGAAGCTGCTGTGTAAGATCTTTGGCCAAGATTTCATTGACCAATTTAAGATAAAGAGGCCAGCTGCGTGGGTGGATCTGATGATTGCATTTGAGTCTCGAAAGAGAGCTGCAGCCCCTGACAGAACCAATCCTCTCAATATTAACCTGCCCTTCTCCTTCATTGACTACTACAAGAAGTTCAGGGGCCACAGTGTGGAACATGCTCTGCGCAAAAGCAAGTGAGTGTAAACAGAAAACCCAATCCTGGACTGACATGAGCGTCTCTATAATCCTGACACCAAAAAGATGCGCTCGTTTGCTTTTGATACAGATTTAATCTGAATTATATTGACTCTGTGATTTCATGTTGCAATATTTCTTGATCACATTTGATTCTGTACATGATCCAAAAGGTTGATTCTGTTCATCTGGACGTTTTCAGAAACGTTTCATTATCATCAGGGGGCTTCTTCAGTCTCAGCTGACTGCAGGTTTCCAACCTTATGAACAGGACATCAGGGGACATCTCCTAGCCCACTGATGAACAATGGGCTGGGAGGCCAGTTCCTCAGTACCATTCTAAACGCTAAGTCCAGATGAGCTGCCTTTTGGGATTTACTGACCTGGATGATTGAGCATCCATCAAGACAGATTAGGCACATATTAGTTTTTTTTAGCTTGTCAACATCTTGACTAAGATGAAATTTTAAAAGTGTGAAAAGTGTTTGTCCCCTTTATTCAGTTGAATTACTCTAGCAACCGCCAGGCCTGATTTCTGCCACACCTGTTCTCAATAAACCACTTAAATAGGACCTGCCTGACAAAGTGGAGTAGACCAAAACATCCTCAAAAGCCAGACACCATGACGCAATCCAAGGAAACTCAGGGACAAATGAGAAACAAAGTAACTGAAATCTCTCAGTCTGCAAAATGTTATAAAGCCATTCTAAAGCTGTAGAACTCCAGCGAACCAAAAATGACAGATATTATCCACAAATGACGAAAACACGGAACAGCGGTGAACTTTCCCTGGAGTGGCTGGCCAACCAAAATGACCCCAAGAGCACAACAACAACTCTTGCAAGAGGTCACTGAACCCCAAAACAACATCCAAAGAACCACAGGGCTTACTTGCCTCAGTTAAGGTCAGAGTTCATGACTCCACCATAAGAAAGACACTGGGCAAAAAATGAGTTCCAAACCACTGCCGAGCAACAGGAACATAAAGACCCCTCTCAGTTTCTTGATCTTGAATCATCTTGATGAGTCCCAAGACTTTTGGGAAAAGCAACATGTTGCCAGCAGTAAAATAAGGTGGTGGTAGTGTGATGCTCTGGGGCCGTCCTGCTGCCTCAGGACCCAAAGACTTGCTGTGGTAAATGGAACCATAAATTCTGCCGTCTACCAAAACACCCTCAAGGAGACTGTCCAGCCATCAAGACCTCAAGCTGAAGCACACTTGGGTTCTGCAGCAGGACGATGATCCGCAACACACCAGCGGGTCCACCTCTGAATGTTTCAAGGAAAACAAGATGAAGACTTTGGAGTGGCCTAGTCAAAGTCCTGACCTGAATCTGATGGAGATGCTGTGACATGACCTTGACAAGGCGACCTCGACAACCCTCCACAGCACTGTAACAGCCAGTTAGCAGAAACGCTTGGTTGCAGTTGTTGCTGTCAGGGTGGCCTAATCACTTATTAGGTTTAGGAGGCAATTACTTTTTCATACTGCTGTAGCTAGTGGCTGTCTGTAGGCTGTGCTAACATGTTAAGAGCCTAAGAGATGCTTTCATTTTCTGGACCATCACCTGAAGCAAAAGTCTTTTTTTGATTTCTATCTCTGACTTGCATTAATAAACAGTTAAACTCTTGCATTTTTAGTCCCATTTGTAACAAACATGTTGTATCTGGATGAGAATAAAGTGAACAACAGTTCAGTTGTATCATTAGTTACATTTTGTGCTGTCATTTATAAATATGAGTCTTTGCCATTTTGTGAAATTTGACAGTTCAGTGATGTTTTGATTTGATAATTTATTGTAACTAACTAATGATCTGCCTGTGAACTGAAATGAATACAGTGTATGTAACAGATGTTCTCCTCTCTTTCCAGTGTGGACTTTGTGAAGTGGTCATCTCAGGGGATGCTGCGGATGAATCCAGATGCTATGAACTCCCTCTTTAAGCCCACCATAGACCACATCATCCAACATCTCAGTAAGCTACATTATAACACCTGCATAAACACATATCACTCACCTTAGAGTCAAGAAAGTTGCAAAGTAAATAATAGTATTTGTATTGCTAATAATAATACATTAAAACTGCAATGCAACTTTTAAGACAACCTTTAGTCACTGTGCCACTACTCTCAAGTAACTAATGGGAAAAATGACCCTTACATGTACAAAAGATCGTATAAGTATTGAACAATGAGTGTCAAAAATCTTCACTGGGATCAGTAACATTTTGTTCAATGTGTTGTTGTTGCTCAGTTTCAAACTGACAGGGTTGGTCACTCCCTAACTCCAGACAGCCTAGATCAGGGGTGGGCAACTCCAGGCCTCGAGTGCCGGTGTCCTGCAGGTTTTAGATGTGTCCTTGATCAAACACAGCTGATTCAAATGGCTAAATTATCTCCTCAACATGTCTTGAAGTTCTCCAGAGGCCTGGTAATGAACTAATCATTTGATTCAGGTGTGTTGACCCAGGGTGAGATCTAAAACCTGCAGGACACCGGCACTCGAGGCCTGGCGTTGCCTGGCCTAGATAATCCACAGTTTGCTCAACCACATGAAAGTAGGTCACATTTCTTAAGGATGGATGGGCCTGCTTCAATACAGATAGTGATTATAGCAATTTATTATAGCATAACATAAATAAAATAAAACCCCTGTTTTTCTGTGACATTTGTAACGCATTTGAAGACACTGCAAAGACAGTGCTACAACTGAATTTAATTCAGTTTAATGTATAAAGTGCTAACTCACATCAACAGCTGCCTCAAATTGTAAATATGTTACAGTAGTGGAGAGAAACCCAGCAGTTAGACAATGAGCAAGCATTTGGCATCAGTGGGAAGGAAAAACTTCCTTTAAACAGGAAGAAACCTGCGGCACATGCACTTGTATGTGAGGAGAACGAGTTTGAATTCAATTCTGGATTTAACAGGACGCCAAAGAAGAGAAGCTAACGTGGGAGAGACCTGCTCTCTGTCCGTTCATTAAGCCCCAAAGTGAGGAATCTAATAAACAATCTGCCTAATATCCATACGTTGTCTCAAGAAAGACATCAAAGGAAATCCACAAACCTTAATGAAGTTTAAACACCAAAACGGGTAATTGTAGTCTTGCTCCCGTGTCAGAACCAATTTAAAATGAGTAAGTCCTGTTACAGTGGAATTTTCAGCCTTGCGTGACAGCTTCCTGCCATCATCGTGTGTATGAATCGCACTGATGAGCGAAAACACTGAGAGATAATAACATCGATTATCTGATTGGAAGGATTCTCTAGAAATGGGAAAGCATGAAGACTTTTACAAGAGGAAACCTGCTATGGCCAGATGATGAGGATCTGTAGAACAGCAAGGCCAAGCCTCATAAACCATGTTATTTTGGTGACAGGTTCAATTCGATTCATTTACATAACGCCAAATCACAACAGTTGCCTTGAGGTGCTTTATATTGAAAGGTTAACCCCGTGCAATACACAGAAAAGCCCAACAATCACATGAGCAACAGTGGGAGGAGAATAAGGCGTCCTTCAGAACCAGGCTCAGAGACTGGTGGTGGTCATAAAATTCAAATTCAGCTGTTTATCAGTGAAAGGAAGATATAAACAGCTGTGTATCAGTGCACTCACTGGGTATGAATAAAAGGCATTTCTGTGTTTCTCCTGCAGCTGAGCTCTTCGAGAAGCCAGAAGTCAGTGACATCAAGTTCCTGTTTTTAGTGGGAGGTTTTGCCGAGTCTCCCTTGCTGCAGCAAGCTGTCCAGAACATGCTTCAGGGCCGCAGCCGCATTATCATTCCCCATGACGTTGGCCTAACCATCCTGAAAGGCGCTGTTCTGTTTGGCCTGGACCCCAGTGTGATTAAAGTCCGCCGCTCGCCACTCACATACGGGGTTGGTGTCCTCAATCGTTTTGTGGAGGGGAAGCACCCACCGGAGAAGCTGCTAGTTAAAGATGGAACGCGCTGGTGCACGGACGTCTTCGACACCTTCATAGCTGCGGACCAGTCTGTGGCACTTGGCGAGATGGTCAAGCGGAGCTACACGCCGGCTAAACCTTCCCAGCAGGTTATTGTCATCCATGTTTACTGCTCTGAGAAGGAGAATGCGAGCTTCATCAGCGAGCCCGGTGTCAGGAAGTGTGGGACACTGCGCTTAGACGTGAGTGGAACAGAAAGTACAGCGGCACGCCGAGAGATCCAGACGCTCATGCAGTTCGGCGACACGGAGATCCGAGCCATGGCAGTGGACGTGTCTACCGGACGCACTGTCAAAGCTAGCATTGATTTCCTAAGCCATTAAGTATCAAAAGAGAAGTCGTGCTCAGTCCGGAGCTGTGGAGACGGACGCTAACAGCTTACACATACATACAAACACACACCTGTAGGGGCGTGTACCGGGAAGGTTCAGTCGCTCTTCATTTAAGCACTAAAGTGATGATGTGTGCAAACTTAACTCAGACATTCAGCTTTAGAATCCGCGTATCATCGAGGTAAGAGAGGCACTAATGAGAGCTTAGTATGTTTTAGGTTCGTCACTTCACCACAACTGTCAGGTTTCGTGGATAAGCAGCTTTCTAGTGGTCATTCCCTCCAAGGAAACCCCTGAACCCAGTGATGAGGCTTAAAAGCTCCTGACAGAAGCTTCTCCATACTTTAATCTATGTTAAGCAGATCTACTGCCTCTGGCACAGAGAGGAACACATACGGTGAATTCATCTTTGTTTGTTGTTGTTCTGTTCTGAGACTATGAAAGGGTCAGTAAACATCCTCAGAAGAGCTACACAAAAATATCTTAATGTTCTTCTATATAAACTCGTGTCATGTTAGTAGTTCTGCAATATTCAGCCCTTTGAATGGTTCCCTCGAGGGCAAAACACACAGTTTTCCTTATACATGGCCAGTCTGCCAAATGGACGACTTGCAGTCATCTTCCATTTGTGAGATTGCTAGCTTAAAAATAACTAGCATTACTATGTAAAAATGTTCAGCTATGGAGGATTGATGCAAAGTGTTAACGCTGTGACATCTTTGGGTAGCCGCTACAAGTGAAACCACGCTGACTCGCTAACATTTACCAAAACTAAAGTTACAAATATACACTATATCATTCTTAATGCGTTGAGAACGCACGCAAAAATATTAATTTGAGTCATTTTGCTCTTTTTTCCATTAATGGGAGATGTGAGAGTAGTTCATATTTTTAGATTGAATTCAGCTTCCAGCATGGGTGGACTCTCACTGTCAGGCTCATTCATTCATAGATTTCATTATTACAATCTATGAAAAACGTGTTTTACATCCTGCATAGACATTTAATACTTACATACATAAGCGATCATATTTGTGCTTCGCCTGTAGCAACATACTTTATGTTTACAGCCTCATGTAGGGTTTGGTGCACTCATGGTAGTCACTGTACCATCTGTAGAAATATGGGTTTTTACTCAACCGAGGTTGCTGATTTTTTCGACTTTTATTAGCCTTTGTCCACCGCTGGAGTGGAAAGCTTCTTCTACCAGGAAAAACATGCTGTCCTCTTCATGCTTTGGTTTCATGATCAAGCCTTTAGACCCAGTACCACACAGACGAAGGGAACCCGTGTAAAGGCTGAAGGTGTGGTGATTCTATTGCAACTACATTTATAGTAGTATATTTATAAAGTATATAGCCACTTTACCATTAGGCTGAATCATGCAAATGCACCAGCTTGGCCCTTTGATGTAATCCAGTGTTATATCTGATTCCAGTAATGTGAAATGTGCTGCAAGCTCAATCCTAAAGAAAGAACAACCATCAATCTGCTTAACTGTGGCCTTTATTAGTTTTTGCTTCTGATTATCAGCTGTGGAAAGAATGACCCCGCCCACTCGACCTCTTTGATTGCACGTATAAGGTGCAGCAGGCCAGTTGAGGCAAACAACAGTGTATTTATTTCTGTAAATACAGTATTTAAATATTGTACAGATTTTTAGCATTGTACGAGCAATTTCAAAGCCAAGAGTGCATATGTCTGTGTTTTTGTGTACGTGCACATGAAGGAGAGAAGAAAGCTCATGTTCTGTCACATGGACATCCTCAACATTTCTTTCTCACCAGTCAGAACGTGAGAGTTAGAGGCTTTGTTGTGTTCCTTCAAAGACTGGATGCGTCACCTTACTGTCACTTTGCAATCACACAAAAAAGCTTGAATACCTTTGTCCTTAAAAATATTTCAGCCCGTAGGGTTGCATGGTTCCACGATCTAAATGCGCACGGCCCAGTTGGACCGCACACATTCAGATTCTCTTCATTAAAGTGTGAGGCACAGTCACCAATAATCATACAGGTAAAATCTCCAGATCTCCAAAAAAGTCTCAATCATGATAGTGCCTAGCATGAATAAATGTGATGTTCAAATTCTGTCACCGCCAAGAACATACAGTGCTTACTTTCACCTGCAGCTCGGTTCATAAAGACATCCGTTCGTCCCTGCAATGGAGGAAGATCCGTATTTGAATAAGCAGAAAATGATCGAATTGGAACGTGCAAAACCTGATTTCATAGCTTCGCCTGTTTTTGACTTAAGATTAATTTGTTGAAACGTCCATAAGATTCAGACGTTAACTGTTGGCCTTTCTAGTCTCAGTGTTGCACAGATGTAGGAGGCAGTCTGCCCTTTAACAGTCGTTGCATTAGGGCCACATTATTGTTTAAATTTCATGCTTTGGAAAGTTACAAATACATACTTTAAGAAAAAGTACAAGTACTTTGACGTATACTCAGTATACATCAGCACCCACAGGTGCCATAATTAGAGTGGCACCTGTGGAGCACACTGACAGTCAGCAGGAGATTTAGGAGGAAAAACACTCAGTCTCAGCTGCAACAAACTCCCTTAAATTATATAATCACACTTTTGAATTTCATTTTTTCACTGCCATGGTCCAGATATGCAGCAGTTATGAGTTATGTCTGAATTATTATGGATTTCCTTTGATCCTTTGTTTAAACTGTGAATTAAAGCTGGTCTCGCCTTTCAGTGTAAGTGTACAAAGCTGCACAAGCTCCAGTGCCCTCTGCTGTCTTCAGCACTCTTTCTGCGATGCACGTTTTGCATGTGTCACATAGGAATGGCTGCTATTACTAATACACAAAACCACGCTTAACTACTGATGTTTACTCTGGTAGTGTCCTCTTTTTGAGCTCTGGTGTTTGAGCTCAAGCGATGGCAGCTCATAACAAACATTACTGATAACTGAACTAATAACCTTTTATTTTACACGTCTCTGTGTTCACAAAGCATAAATGTAAGACTCTAATAGCACCGTGGTTTTCTTGTTTAACATTAGATGATTGCTATGTGTTTTGTACACCTTTGAGTGTTATGTGATGCACAGGGTACTGTTATGTAGCAGCTTTTTACCTAAAGCTATAACAAGATTAGCAAGATTTAGCTGACTAGCTGACTTTAGCTGACTTTATTCTTGGTGTGTGAAGCATCATTTTTGGTCAATGAGTGAATGATTTCAGGTTATTTGGATGTGATTTGAGTAGCACTCTAGTCAGCTTGCGTTGTCTTTAAGCATCTCCTTAAGACTCTCTAGAAAATCCAAGAATTCAGAAGATTTCGCAGCTAAAATCACAGAGCTTGTTATAAGGATCACCTTAGCCACTCTGGAACGCAAAAACTAAGCAAACTTTATTGTTTAAGCAAAGACATTTTTATGTTTATTATTTTTCATGCAGTACTATGTGTATTTTACCAATGCCAGATATTCACTGTCACTAATAAAATGTTTATTTCAAATTGTTTGCTGTACTTTCTTCAGCTTAGTTAAAATGGGGTCATTTCATACGTCTTAGTAGCAGAGCCAAGGCAACCAACAATTAAAATATTAAAGTTACGCAAAGTGTGTTTATCTATGCTAACATGTGCAACCACAGCCTGCGTGTTACTTGTATGATTAGCTATCTAATTTTAGATTTAGACCTTTGTATTTCCTAACACACCGACCAACGCTTTAAGGTTTTATCAGCAGGTCTGTTAGAGCCAAGCTGACACAATCTGAAGAACAATGGCTACATGTTTGTGAAGCAACACTGCCACCAAGTGGCTCTAATGAGGAATGAGCTGGCTCTACCCTGGTTTTATTATTGTGAGACGTCAAGGACTCCACTTTTTTAAAAGAAAAAAAGTTTGCTCGTAGGACTAGCATGTTATTTTTGACATGAGTTCTCAAAGCACTGCAGACCTCATTTTAAAGGCTGCAAGTAATTTCCATTTTCATTGAATTTAGTTAATTATTTAGGAGATTATGTGGGAACTGCACCAGAAGTGGGAAGTTACAAATTAAAAATACTTTACTGTATTTAAGTGTAGGGGAAAGTGGTCTTGTTTCTGCAAAGCCATAGAGGAAATTGGTCATGTGACTGCACATTTTTGAAGAGTCAACCATTTTACTCATCCTGCAAGGAAGAGAGCCTCATTGCAACAAAGCCAAATCCTACGACTACGCTGGATTGGTTGAGATGGTTGATGGTTCCAACAGTGGTGCAAGTTTTTAAGGTCAAGTAGTAATAGGTCTGTGAATGGAAAGCCCAGCTTCACTTTCAAAGAAGATGATGATGGAGTCATCCCTAGTGTATAAAAACACTACCCACATCACAAAAACTTGGTGGTAGTGGGTAGCATCAAAGAGTGGGATGTTATGAAGTAGGCCAGATCTGTGAAGACAATTGCAGTTCATTTCATCTTAATTTGAATTTCATTTTGTTCTGAACATGTGACCGTGTGGCGCTAGGCCTTGTTTAATAAAATTGACTTTGGATGTGCTCATGTGGCGCAACTTGCTTTTATAACTTACCCCGCACTGGGGGCAAGGTGTGCCACAAGACCACTTTGTTTTGGATCCACAGTGATTGTTCCCAGGGATGCACAACATCCTGAAATATAAGTACATGTTTTAGTTGGAAGCATTACTGTCATGGCCTCACTGTAAGTAAAAACTGGCACAACTCACCCCACTCTCCTAATTTTAAAGGCTCTTTAATTTATTTGTCTGAGCCTTCTAATACTTAAAAGTATTTGTTGGGCAGGCAAAAAGTCACTGATTTTGATTCTAGCTAACAAATGTCCGGTTGGTTGGCCATCACCATTTTGTCCATCTGTAACTGGAAATCTCAAATTATCTTAGATGATTGCTGGCATCTCCAATCAGGAATTCCCACACCCGCCGATCCAAAGTCCCCCCGCCCATTCCCCGCCCAGTACCTGTGTGCGGAAGGCACTGAAGAAGATGAAGAATGGAAAGGCAACCGGACCAGATGACATCCCAGCCAAAATATGGAAGATGCGTTCCTAGCGGATCTCCTTAATCGTATTGCAGCCGAGAACAAGCCTTCCCAGGCCTGGACAACCAGCACCACCATGCCGATCTGGAAAGGCAAGGAGAATGTCAGCCAGTGCACCAACTCTGCGTCGATTCGACTACTCTGTCATGCAATGAAAATCTTTGAGCGAATCCTGAATAAATGCCTTCGTGATATCGTTGAGCTTACCCCAAACCAGTGTGGATTTGTCAAGGGCTCCAGCACCACGGATGCCATTCATGCTGCTCGACTGCTTATGGAAAAGCACAGGGAGATGAACGGGATGGCGCATGTGGCATTCTTGGACCTGGAGAAAGCTTTCGACCACGTCCCACACATCCTTATCTGGAAAGCACTTAGGTCACATAGCATCCCAGAAGAATAAGTGCAATGGATGCAGCTACTCTACCATTTAAGCAGCATGGCTTAAATGGCGTGAATCGACCTGCATCCTGTGTTATCAGAGGATGCCCGAACACCTCAAAGCTAAGATCTAAAAGGCAGTCATATGGCCGGTGGCCCTATAGTAGCAGAATGCTGGCCAGCCACCAAGAAACATGAGCAGATCCTCACTGCTGTGGAGATGAAGATGCTCAGGTGGATGGTGGGCTTAACTTGCCTGGATTGTGTGGGGGAAATATCATCACCCCCACCTGAGATTGGGTACCACGCCCCAAGTGCAAGAGGAGAAGGATCATTGAGTGTGAGAGGAACTGACCTGAAAGGTAGGATCATGGCCAAGCTTGAAACCTGGCCGGTTACCAAGACTGCGTGAAGTAATTCAATTCTATTCTATTTATACAGCACCAAATCACAATAACAGTCGCCTCAAGGCACTTTATATTGTACAGTAGATCCTACAATAATACATACAGAGAAATTCCCAACAATCATGTGACCACCTATGAGCAGCACTTTGGCAACAGTGGGAAGGAAAAACTCCCTTTTAACAGGAAGAAACCTCC